GAAATTATGGCTTAAAAGAGTCTAATGGAAGGCATGGTTGTTGAAATGTGAGAAGTTCTATGATTAGGCTATAAAATTCTAAATAGCTAATTTAAAATGACCGATAAAAGTCTTGTTCACATTTTCTTGCATTCTCTGGTCATTTCATTTATGTTTGCGTTCATTATTATTATATCAGTGTTGCCATGGGAGTCATTGAATGACAATATACATGGGCAGCCTGATAATTCAATGTCATGATGGTTATGATGTGAAACAGTTTGTAGAGTCAAACGTTGGCAAATGTGAGGTGAAATATGTATATTCATTTCTGAGAAAAGAATAACTTTGTACCACCCTTATGCAGAGAATTGCGAATTTAGAGTATGCTGCTTGATATAGTCATTCTAGTTCTAGAAAATGACCCATAGAAATGTTTTGAAATACAGATAAAATCAACTATGTGTAAAACTGTTCACCAGCACTTTCTTTATAGTAACAAATAATTAGAAACATTCTACATGAAAACCCTGGGGAATAGTTAAAAATTTCCATATATACATAAATGAGCTGTAGCCTGCATGAAGGGCTGAGAAAAGACTGAAGGTCTATGGGGCGTGGAAAGGGCCCTGAGGAACCCAGACAGAGAAGCAGCAGAGCCTGCCGCCTGGTGGCGAGGACGGGTGATGCGGCACCGCTGGGCATCATGATGGCGGCAGGGGTGGGTACAGATGTGGGGCGGGGGCTAAGCCCAGAGCGCCCAGAGTATCCACACACCCATTTTACCATTATTATCACTGGGTGGGGCCAGTTTGTTGAGACATCTGTGGTCACTGCTAAATAATCCTGAGCAAGTTTTTTTATTTTTATTTATTTTTATTTTATATATTTTTTTTACATCTGTTTTCATTTTGCACAATGTATGCATTTTCTGCTTGTTGACTCTGCTTTTTACTTTAGTTTTTTTCATGGTCCCTTATTTAGGTTTTCTAGATTCCTGCTATGAGTGAGACCATCCGGTATTTTTCTTTTTCTTTCTGGCTTATTTCGCTGAGCATGATCCCTTCCAGCGCCATCCATGTTGCTGCAAATTGCATTGTTTATCTTTTTTGAATGCTGAGTAATATTCCATGGTGTATATGTACCACATCTTCTTGATCCAGTCATCTATTTTTGGGCATTTGGGTTGTGTCCAAAGCTTACCTGTTGTAAATAGTGCTGAGCAAGTTTTTAAATCCAGGTAGACCCGTCTGCCCTTTAAGTGCCTACCTGGAATTTTCATTGACAGTTTTTGGAGAAGACCTGGGCTACTTGCCTTCATTTAAGTTTCAATATCCAGATGGCCGCTGCGGGACCGGCGGGCGGGCGTGGGCGGCGAGAGCTGTGGGTCCCGCCCCATGCCCAACCTGCGGCACCTGCACGTCCCTCTGACCGCGCAGGCGCTGCCCGCCCAGCCCGCTGGCTTCTCGGGGTTGCAGCGGCGGCGGTGCTGGTGGGGAACCTGTGCCTCTGGGGCCCGGGGTAGAGCTGTTGTCTGCGCTTGGACCTGGGGAGCTTCTCGGGCCCGGGAGAGGCGCCCCGAGGAGCGGCCACGGTGAGGACATCCCGGGGGCGGCGGGCTGCGCGGGGCTCCCGTCGGAGGGCCCGGTGCGGGGAGGGCTGGGCGTGGGAAACTGGGGGCCTTTGTGGGTTCATTGTTGGGCCTGGAGGAACAAAGGGGTCCGGGCTCCTGTCTGAGCGTGACCCCAGCATGCCCCGTCTCCCCCGCCCCAAGAGCGCGTCCTGTGCGCTCCTGCGCCCGGGGCTGCCGGGCTCGCGGGTCCGCGGCGCTGCTCTGCGCGGGTGTGTCGCGGGGCGTTTATGACACAGTTTGGGAACACGGCGTAGAGTTTCCTGGGGCTGCCATCCCCCCGCGAATCTTCACTCTTTCTGGGCTCTCCGGCGGCCTCCCCTCCTGCTCCCCTGGTTCCCTCTGCTCTTTCTCTTCGCTGGCGTCCCCCTGGCGCCGCCCTTATTAGCCCAGGTGTGCCCACCTGAGCCCGCCCGCACCCAGTGCAGGTGTCGGCCCTCAGGCTGCGTGTAGCTCCAAGGGATCATCACTAATGCAGAGCGCCGGGGGTGGGGGGGGGGGGCGGGAAAGCCTGCTCGCGTCTCCCCACAGCGCCCCAGGTCGAGCGGGCGGGCGGGCGAAGCCACCGCCAGAGGCAGGTCAGAGCTGCTCCTCCCTGTCTCCCCGGGATCTGGGCCCGTCTCCGCAGCCCGCGGCTGACCTTGGAGGCTGCTAGAGAAGTAGCTGCGGGGCGCTCGGCCTCTGCATGTCCGCAGGGCGTGCTTTAGAGAGGCTGGGGTGGAGAGGGCTTTGCCTTCCTCCGGCGCCAGCCTGTGTCTGGGGGGGACTCACGGGAGCAGAGGCCCCTCCCGTCCGCAGTAACTAACTTCTTCCTGTCAGTGACTCTTCCTAGCCCTGAAACCAAATTCAAAGTCCTGTTTTTTGAAATAAGATTTGTCAGGCTGCTTCCTGGATTCAGATGCTCACTTTAATTATCTCATAATCTTTGTTGGACTTTGAGTCTTTGTGTCCAATGAACAGTTTGAAGTCAGGGAGCAACATGCCTCCAGCTTCACTCTCGTGTTTCTGCCTCCTCCAGGTCCTCTGTGCTCCCCCCACGTTTCAGGATGGTTGGTTCTGTTTCTGTGGAAAATGCCAGTGGACTTTACTTTGGGAAGTCTGCACCTTTCAATAATATCAATTATTCCAATCACGAGCACAGAATAGCCACTTATTTGTATTTTCAACTTCTTTAAACATTATTTTATAGTTTTTTTTTATTGTGCAGGTGTTTTGTCCTCCTTCAAATGTTTTCTTAGATATTTTGTCATTGTTAAAGAACTCCCTCCTCAGAGAGACCCCATTAGTCAGCTGACTATATATTAGCTCCCCTCTGTAACCTAATCTGTTTTCCCGACCTTGCTGCATATGCATATTAGTCCCTGACCTGTTCCCCTTGGGCCCTTTCTCTCCCCCACTTCCCGCTTCACCTCAGAAACCTCACTGGTTTCTTAGAGTCCAGTCGTTTTCTACGAGTATTTTACTTTGTTTTCTCACCTGCCATGTAAACACCCAACATTTGTCTTTGTCATCCTGACTTGCTGTACTACAGAGGAGCCCCTCACATTCCTTCCATTTTGTTGTAAGTGGTCATTTTTTGTCTTTCCTTATGGCTGGCCAGTGTTCCATTGTGTGGACAGGCCACATCTTCTGGATCAAGGCCTCTGTGGTGGGCACACAGGTTGCTGCCTTTGCTTGGGTGTGACTTGGTTCTCGGTCTGCAGGGGAGGGGAGCTGGGCATCGTCACTCTCCAGGGCCTTTTCATCTTCTCCCTGAAACTGTCCACTAAGCACCAACTCTCCAGCCCTCTCCCGCTGGCAACCACATTCTAGGCTCTGTTTCTGAGTTTGACCACTCTGGATACTCACCTAAGTGGGATTTCTCTACATGTGTCCTTGTTGGCTGGGTGGCTTATTGCACTTATTATAATGACTCTAAGTTTCCAGAAGTTGCAGCCTATATCAGAATTTCCTTGCTTGTTTGACAGTGAATCTGAATTGTGTAAATGCCACATTTTTTGCTTCTAGAGATTGATAGATTGTGAATGATGCAGCTGTGAGCATGGGGGTACAGATGGCTGTTTGAGTCGCTGCTTTAATTCTCTAGGGCGTAGCCCCGCAGTGGGATGGCTGTTTACATGTTGGTTTTTAAGGGAATGACCATACTGCTTTCCACAGCAGCTGCACCAGTTTACTTTCTTCCTTAAATGGCAAAGTAATATTGAAGTTTCTGGGCCTACCCCATGTTGTCTGTCCCTCACCCACTGTGGACATTTGCACTGTTTCTACCTTTGGCTATTATGAACAGTGCTGCTATAAATATTTGTGTACGAAATTTAGCTTGCACACCTGTTTTCAATTCTTTGGGGTATATATCTAGGTGTGGAATGCTGAAGCATATGGTGATAGTATTTTTAACATTTTGGGTACATGCCAAATGACTTTAAGCATAGACTGCCTCATTTTATGTTTCTACAAGTGTAACTTACAATATTTTTAAAAATTTCTTTGTTTTAACCATGGTAATGTGTGTGAAGGGGATTCTATTGTTTTAATTTGTATTTTGATTTGTATTTCCATAATGACTAGTGATGTTGCAAGTCTTTTTAGGGGCTAGTTGATCATTTGTATGTGTGCTTTGGAGAGAAGAGTCTGCTCAAGTCCTGTGTTCATTTTTAAAATTGGTTTTTTCCCTTAGTCGCTTCCTTTGTGTATTCTGATCAACAGATTTTTATCACAACTACTTAATGGTACTGAAGCCGGTGTGTGTTGTTACCGTGATTATTGCTCCTGTTGCTGCTGCTGTTTTTCACCCTGCTAACCCTTAAACCATCCCAGGGTCTTGTCCCACGAAGCCATAAAAAGCAATTCTTAGCAAACCTTCAGATAAATAAGCGGAGAGAAGCAAAGCTTTATTTAGAGAGTAAAGAAAATTTTATTTAGGGGAGAAAGAGCAAAAGCAAAGGCTCAGAGAAAGCAATGCCAAGGAGGGGCAAAAGACCCCTCGTGGGCCTGTGTCCCTTTGTTGCAATGCAGCCCAGCTGCTCTTGCAAGATCCCGGAAGCAGGAAGGACCACTCTGACCATCCCCATTTCAATAGTGTGCAAATAATTTCCTTTCACTCTGTGCCCTTTTGTCTTTCTGAAACACCTCGTCTTACACTACATGTTGTGGCGTTTTCTTCCCATTACTGGAATGAGTGTGGTTGGGAGAGAAGGAAGGAGAGTATTTTCCCAGTAAAACACCATTACCCATCCTCTCATTGAGGTGGCCAAAAGCAGGGCAACTGAGGCCCAAAAACTTGCCACAAATAAGACCCATTTTGATGGGGCACCACAGGAAGGGGGGTGGCATGGGGCCGGGAAGTCTGGGAAGAAAGGAGCAAAACCAGAGTAGCCCTGCCCTTCTTTTCCTCACCCCCAGATACTGTCCTGGGTGTGTAGATGTAGAGCGCTCCATCGCCTTGATTGTCATGAATATGTGTGGCTAACACAGCCCTGCAGTCTTGCTTCTTAATGATATAAAAAGTGCACAGGGGTCGGTGAGGGGCGGGCAGCTATGGGTAAGGTGGGTGAGAACTGAGCCTTCACCCTGCCCTGTTAGGCGGTCAGAGCAGAGCAGGTAAGACCCCAGGGAAAAGCTACATTATTGTGCTCTTTTGGAAAATCCTTCGAAAATGGTCAAGAATGCAGACACACCCACAGGGAATAGACTGAGGATCACCCTGATCCCAAAAGAGCTTTTGTAAAACAGAGATCTTACCTGACAGGAAGGGGAAGAAAACATTAAAGACAGGAAGACATTATTGAGGAGTGTTGCTGTGATAGGTTCCTGCCTTGTGTCCTAACTAACCAGGGTCTGTTTCTCTCCGAGGCTGGGCCCGGCCTAGCAGCCTGTGTCAACGTGGGTCACTCTCTTTCTATTCAGGACTGTGGCGGTGAGTGCCAGTCATCTCTCCCTCTCGCTTATTTGACTTAACTTTTGTTTTAGCATCTCAGTAGCTTCCCTGACCTCCCTCCACAAGCTGCCTTGTTTCTAACCACTGTAGATTCAACTGCTTTACCGCTTTCGCAGCCTGACACCATCTTGCATCCTTATACCAAATGGATTTTCATTTTCAATGCAGTGATCTTACTAATGGAGACATTGAGAGGGATCCCGATGTAGAGCTAAGGCTCTTCTTTTCAATGATGGTGTCTTAGTTTTCACCATTATCGTGCTCACCCTATTTTCTAAGTGATTTCCGGAACACTGCACGAAAGAATGGAATTCTACATGCTAACTGAACCATTTCCTTGTAGGAAAATGCTTATTGGATGGGATGATTAATTTGCCTTCAGCTCATACTGCTTTTTTTGCTTATTGGGAAGCCCTGGATATTCATGTGGCCTTTCATTTCCTTCATTCCCAACCCCCATGTGTAGCTCCCCAAGGCGCCAACCCTTCCCTTCACAGTCAGTTATTATTTATGCCTTCTTTTTTGTACCATAATTTATTTTACTGGTTTCCATAATATTTTTAATTTAAAAGAAAATCTGCAAAGCTGAAAAAATGGCCAGTGTCCTCCGACAATGGTGATAGTCCCCCCCTCCCCCTTTGCAGCCGGGGCTGCCTCCAGGCTCCACATTAGGACACCGCACCTCCTCTCTGGGGTGCTTCTGCCCCTTTAGCCTCATCCCAGCTGTGTTAGCCACTTTCCCCTGCCGTCCGGTCTTTCTTCTTGTGAAAATCAAAGTCAGCACTTTAGAGTACTTCTCCTTGTGTCCCAGAGCAGTGACTCCTTTCTCTGATTTCAGAATTTCTCTGTGGCAAGAAAAATCCTCACCATGAATCAGTGATCTTCACTTTTGAAAATATTCCCTCTGTGATAGAATACCTGCCAGAGGCAAGGCGTCGATGTCTGTGAATCCCCTGGGGTTGGGGGTGTCTCCGTAAGAGTGGGAAGGGGAAGGTGTAGCTTTTAGTAGAGATTATAGAACATGGGGGAAATATGTGCATTGAAATCTGTGTAATACTGATGTTTATTCATGCTGAGCTTTGGACTAAGATTTATTCATTTTTGCCAGCGATACCGCAGGAAGGATTGTACTTCTGTGTTTTTCAGGCACCGGGTATCAGTTTGCCCCATTACATTTACCTCAGCTCCCTTCACCTGGTTCAGGGCTTCTCTGCCAGTTTCCCCCTACCAAGTTAATGATTTTCTACTTATCATCACCCTTATTAAGGGTGATGGAGAGATTTACCTAAGGGATATACATAAACCAGCGTGTTTAATCTGAAAAAAATCTCTTTAGATTTCTGTTTCTTCTTTGGTTTGAAAAATGAAGGGACTCACCTTTAGAGATGTTGGCTTTTGCAAATGGAAATTATCAGGCCTTTCTTGTATGTTTCCATTACATGATGCACCACAGGCATTTTTAAACACATTTACCCTTTATCCTGTCAGAAAAGAAAAATAATCTATGTCAGCATGCATGTTAAACAAAAACTACCAGAGAAATGAAAACCTCAGCAGCAATCCCTCTCATTTAGTTGACATGACTGTGTTTGTGCCCCTGGTGTGCTTAGGGAAAACAAACATTCACAAATAGAATTATCAGTTTCACAATTAAACAACACGATTTTATTGATAACAAAATTATGTACTTTATCACTTTTAATGTGTGTGGCCCCGTATCTGCGAGCGTCTGCATGCGTAAGAGGCTAACATCGTTGACCTCATTCTGTGTTCTTAACTGTTCCCATATCCTCCTTTACAGGACACGCCTGTGAACAGTGTAGAATTTCCAAAACCATTTGGTTCTAGTCTAAACTCATCACTCAGCCATTCAGAAATGCTAAGATTTTCTCCTTTAGCTGCTCACAGAAAGCGTTTGCCTCTAGTCTCTAGGCTCTCAGAGGGCGAGTAGAGAACATTTAAGTGAATCAAATATTTCTTCCTTTATGTCTTTCTCATTTGATTCATGGGGAAGGATCTATTTTTTCTAGTTGAAAGAAACTGTAAATAAGCTTGAAATTATTCTGCTGCAGAATATGGCTCCCGTCTGGAGGAGGATGTGGTGGGGACCCCTCAGGGCACAACCAGAGGACGTGGCCATTCTCCTACGGGTATTGGGTGAGGACTATTTACAGTTGGATTTAAAACTCTGAAGCCTGACTGGTCTAAATATGGTTAAGTAAATTCACTTAAAATTCTTTGAATCATTTCTGATATTTGCTGGATCCTGGCTGTGTGCTGCCTGCGTTTGGTTGTCTTTTGGCACACCCCACCTTAAACTCTTAGTAGCTCACGCATAGGTGTTTTTTTTTTTTTAAATATCACTGTATTTGAATTTCAAATCAACAGGATCAGATTGTATTTGCATAGTGCTGTGTGATAAAGTGAAATCTGGTAGCACTGTTATGATCTTTTATAAAAACATGTCCTCTGTAAGAGGAAAAGCTTTATGAACTTTCAGATGGAGCCATTTCTCCTTTTGTATGAAAATGTTCCTGTCATTCAGTCCTCTGACACATCTTCTATTTTAGGCTAATAGAGACCCTGATGCTAGAGTTGATGGAGCTCACACTGAAGATGCTCAGGTAAGTGAGACTTAATGCTGGGTGGCCATGACAGCTTTTTTTGTGACATCAGAATGAAAAAGGAATCCACATTAATAAAAAAAACTATAATCAATGTTGTGACAGCATCTAAAAATCTTATTTATGGCTTATTACCACATCATGATCCATGTAAGTATAGTTTTCTTATTTTGACCTGGCAACAAAATATTTTATCCTAAAATTATAATAAAAAATGTATATGAATAGTGAGTATCATCTAGATGTTACCTTTTTCTGGTGCTTCTGACCTTATAGGGTTGCAAGCTTGCCTGTACATAAGCCCACTTTTGAATTACCACGAAAAGTATAAATGAGTATTTTAATGCCATGGTCTTTCCTGTTGCCTGTGGAGTCTGCTAAAATGAATCAGGATTTTAACTCAAGGATGAGATGAAAATGAAAGCATGCTGTTTGCCAGGACACTGGATTTATACTGCTGTGTGACAATATGATTTGGAACACAGAAATTTTATTCTATTCTGATCTTTTTTTTCTTTCTGTATAGGCAGTTAACTACTCACAGGAAGGATCTTTCAGTTATAGAAAGTTTCGTTTCATTAGATATCATGACTGCATTCATAATTTTGTCTTGTTCTCCCCATAGGCATATACAACTTCAGAACTCTTGTACTTGGAAAGCTGAACGGAGCCCAGACTTTGAAGTCTAGTCTTCTTTTCATTTTTTTTTAAACTAAAAGTATACAAAGTTGTGGATTAAATAGGACAAACTTCTTAATTTAAAAATGAACAAAAAAAGGCAAAACATGTTTATTTGGATTTGACACCTAGCAGGATCATAGGTTCAGGCTAGAAATCCAAATCCCCTCACTAAAATAAAATGAGGTGACCTTGACATTAACACTCCCAATGCTCCTGCTCTGCCCACACCTGCTTGACTAGGGGGAAGCCCTTATTTTCTTTAGTGTTTTTCTATAACCACAATGGATTTCTGAAGGCTTAAAAAAATTGATTAGTTTTCACCTGCCAGGGACCAGGGAGGTAATTTCAGCAACATTTTTTTGGTTAGCATTGGTTGACTGGCTCTGCTAATAAAATGGGGATGTGTCCATTATAGAAAAACTGAAAAGTAGTAACTATAATGAACTAAAAAAATAAATGCTTTTATGAGTTAGAGAGTACTTTCTTCCTAGTGTTTCCCAATATTTTTAACTGAAATATTACTCATGTGTATACGGGCAGGTAGCATTGATGTAGGGTTTGAGAATTACAAAGTGAACTCCCAATAACCAGGTCAAGAAATAGGAAATCACATCACATAATCTATAAGCATGCACCAATATGACTTTCATCTAAATTGTTTCCCCTGTTCATTATATCACGTAAGTATGTATCACTAAATGTATAATTAAAACAATTTTAATTTGCTGAGTATTTAAGATTTAATGAAATTTTACATTTATTATCTTGAATCTTTCAACAATATGTAGGTCAGATTAATCCACATTGATAGAGTAATTATTTTCACTGCTACATAATGCTAATATTTCCCTTCTATGTAAAGATTATAAAGTATATTTCATTAATATTTTCCTTTTTTGTAGTGAAATTATACTAGGATTTTATATTCTACTTTCATAATTTAACATTGTAAAATAAACATTTTCCACATCATTATAAGCTATTCAGAATTATTGTGTCTAATTGCTACAATTAATTTCTATGATTGAATTTTCATAGAACCCCTCCCCTCCCCTCCCCTCCCCTCCCCTCCCCTCCCCCTCCCCTCCCCTCCCCTCCCCTCCCCTCCCTCCCCTCCCCTCCCCTCCCTCCCCTCCCCTCCCTCCCCTCCCCTCCCTCCCCTCCCCTCCCCTCCCTCCCCTCCCCTCCCCTCCCTCCCTCCCCTCCCCTCCCCTCCCTCCCCTCCCCTCCCCTCCCCTCCCCTCCCCTCCCCTCCGCTCCCGCTGCATTTCGGCTTAATCCGCCACCAGGCGGAGCTGGGCAGGGGGCCTCTGACCGCTCATTTCCCAGCGCCGTTGCTGTCGCTCCCTCGCGCCACCAGGTGGCGCCCGCCGCCGTTTTCCTGCACTTGGCCCCTAAGGCCCTTTCCGTTCCGCCCTCAGCCACTTCTCCAAGCGTCACCAGCGACCAGCGACCGGGCTCTTCATGACGCTGCACTCGGGCCCTTCACTGGCTCCGCGTCCCCTTTCCCGCCGCAGTTCCTGTTCTGTGTGCCCCGTCGCGACCGCTTCCCTCGCCCATCCACGCCGTCATCGCTCTACGGGTTTCCTTGCGCTAGCCCTCCGGTCCACAAGGCGGCGCGCTCTGTTGCGCGCTTCCCCTTTTGCCCTAGGAGCCCCTCCTTCCTCCGGTCACTTCCGGTCCCACTCGGCTGCGCGGGACGCGATTTTCCCACGTTACCACCCCAGTCCACAAGGCGGCGCTCTCTGTAATGTTAGCACTTCCTTTGGCCCAGGATCCTCTCCCTCATCGCTAAGGAAAGGCACCCAGTGCTGACGTAATGAGTAGGGGACAAAGCAAAATGGCTGCGGACGGAGAGATGCCTACTCATTACGTCATCACTGGGTGCCTTTCTTCAGCGATGAGGAAGGAGGGACTCCTGGGCCAAAGGAAGTGCTAACATTACAGAGAGCGCCGCCTTGTGGACTGGGGTGGTAACGTGGGAAAATCGCTTCCCGCGCAGCCGAGTGGGACCGGAAGTGACCGGAGGAAGGAGGGGCTCCTAGGGCAAAAGGGGGAAGCGCGCAACAGAGCGCGCCGCCTTGTGGACCGGAGGGCTAGCGCAAGGAAACCCGTAGAGCGATGACGGCGTGGATGGGCGAGGGAAGCGGTCGCGACGGGGCACACAGAACAGGAACTGCGGCGGGAAAGGGGACGCGGAGCCAGTGAAGGGCCCGAGTGCAGCGTCATGAAGAGCCCGGTCGCTGGTCGCTGGTGACGCTTGGAGAAGTGGCTGAGGGCGGAACGGAAAGGGCCTTAGGGGCCAAGTGCAGGAAAACGGCGGCGGGCGCCACCTGGTGGCGCGAGGGAGCGACAGCAACGGCGCTGGGAAATGAGCGGTCAGAGGCCCCCTGCCCAGCTCCCCTGGTGGCGGATTAAGCCGAAATGCAGCGAGAGGAGAGGAGAGGAGAGGAGAGGGGAGAGGGAGGGGAGGGGAGGGGAGGGGAGGGGAGGGGAGGGAGGGGAGGGGAGGGGAGGGAGGGGAGGGGAGGGGAGGGGAGGGGGGAGGGGAGGGGAGGGGAGGGGAGGGGAGGGGAGGGGGAGGGGAGGGGAGGGGAGGGAGGGGAGGGGAGGGGAGGGGAGGGGAGGGAGGGGAGGGGAGGGGAGGGGAGGGAGCTTGGGGTAAGCTTGGGGTGTTGGGACATAGGGGCAGTGCTAGCAGGGCTGAGGGGAGAAGTCCTCACATGTCCCTGAGGAAGGCACTTCTCACTGCCCCTCTGCAGGCCCCTGGAGATTAAAATATTTTTATTTTAAATAGAGTAAATCTATTGTGGGAAAATGACCTAAAGAAATGCTCTGAAATGCAGGCAAAAATCTTTTTGTGTAAAAATGTTCACCAAAATTTTTGGTATTTCCCCAAAATGTTAAAAATAGTATCACCATATGCTTCAGCATTCCACACCTAGATATATACCCCAAAGAATTGAAAACAGGTGTGCAAGCTAAATTTCGTACACAAATATTTATAGCAGCACTGTTCATAATAGCCAAAGGTAGAAACAGTGCAAATGTCCACAGTGGGTGAGGGACAGACAACATGGGGTAGGCCCAGAAACTTCAATATTACTTTGCCATTTAAGGAGGAAAGTAAACTGGTACAGCTGCTGTGGAAAGCAGTATGGTCATTCCCTTAAAAACCAACATGTAAACAGCCATCCCACTGCGGGGCTATGCCCTAGAGAATTAAAGCAGCGACTCAAACAGCCATCTGTACCCCCATGCTCACAGCTGCATCATTCACAATCTATCAATCTCTAGAAGCAAAAAATGTGGCATTTACACAATTCAGATTCACTGTCAAACAAGCAAGGAAATTCTGATACAGGCTGCAACTTCTGGAAACTTAGAGTCATTATAATATGTGCAATAAACCACCCAGCCAACAAGGACACATGTAGAGAAATCCCACTTAGGTGAGTATCCAGAGTGGTCAAACTCAGAAACAGAGCCTAGAATGTGGTTGCCAGCGGGAGAGGGCTGGAGAGTTGGTGCTTAGTTGACAGTTTCAGGGGGGAGATGAAAAGGCCTTGGAGAGTGACGATGCCCAGCTCCCCTCCCCCGCAGACTGAGAACCAGGTCACACCCAAGCAAAGGCAGCAACCTGTGTGCCCGCCACAGAGGCCTGGATCCAGAAGATGTGGCCTGTCCACACAGTGGAACACTGGCCAGCCATAAGGAAAGACAAAAAATGACCACTTACAACAAAATGGAAGGAATGTGAGGGGCTCCTATGTAGCACAGCAAGTCAGGATGACAAAGACAAATGTTGGGTGTTTACATGGCAGGTGAGAAGACAAAGTAAAATACTCGTAGAGAACGACTGGACTCTAAGAAACCAGTGAGGTTTCTGAGGTGAAGAGGGAAGAGGGGAGAGAAAGGGCCCAAGGGGAACAGGTCAGGGACTAACAGGTACTATGCAGCAAGGTCCGGAAAACAGATTCAGGTTGCCGAGGGAGGGGAACTAATACAGAGTGATCTAATGGAGTCTCTCTGAGCACGGGGTTATCTGACATTGACCTGAGTGAGGTGATACGGTGGGCACTTCTAGCAGAGAGACCTCAAGTGCAAAAGGTCTGACGTTGAAAATGTGTCATATTTTTAGCAGTGTTTATATAAAAAGTGGAAAAAAAAGAATTAAGGCTAAAATACTGGCCTATTTTTGTATGGTTGTATTATAATCCCCTTTGGTTTAATATCACCAATGAGATCAGCTCTAAGTCTAAGGAAATAAACTGTTAAGCACCCGTGCAGGTAAATGGACTACAGAGGTGGCCCCCCCAAATGCATGAACATGAAAACCTAAGAGATCAAACAGAAAATACCATCCAGATTTTAGGCATATACACACATTAAATTCATCAAAGTTGTGAAAATGAGGAACAGTCAGTCTCAGGAACATTTTCAAAAGAGAAAAGTGGATCAGGAGGGAAGATGACACTCTCAGGTTGGGCAGGTGGGTGGGTAAAGCTGAAATGGGCCAGGGGCCTGGATTATAGTATGGAAACCATGATGATTTCTCATTGGGGGCTAGATAGTGGATGCCTGGAATATTTTGGTTAAATACAAAACGGGATATTGTCATGAAAACACAAAAGGATGTTCCATGTTAAGTCAAATATGTGGCAAAGTAGGAATCTGATGTAAGAGAGAGCATTTTGTACTGCTATTAAAGTTTCCTGTGCATTTGAAGTAATGGAAAGTAAATTACTTCTCACAGGCCTACCTAGAGGAACAGAAGTTCCTACCTACCTAGAGGAACTAAAACTCATGGAGCACAAGCCTTATTAAGAGACAGTGTGGCAAGATTCTAGTAGTAGACATTATGTCTTGGGTGTTGCAGATGACCCACGATGTGGTAGAAATAGTAAGAGTTTTAAGCACCAAATTTCTACATTAATCCACCAAAAAAAAAACCCCACAACAAACTCTTAGAAAGGATGAATTCAGACCTCCCTGGGGGCCTTGGGGGTTGTCTCAGCACTATAACCGCTTTGGCCTGAGTTTGGTCCCCGGCCAGGGAACTACCCCACATGGCACAGAATTCTCCTGTCTTGCCTGCTGCTCCCTTCAGCAGTGTATTTCAGTAGACCCACCTGTTGCAGAAATAAATTCTAGCCTTTCACCCAGGCAAGGGAAGAACAAGCGGTATTTCAGGAATGGTGAGGTCAGGAGAAGCTTTATTACTCATGCCTGAGGTCTCAGATCTGGGCAGTCCCATAAGGTCTGAGCACCCTTCTAGAGACAAAGGGTTTCTTATATACATAACCATCTTACATTGATAACATTTACAGCAAGCACAACTATTTGCTGTAAATCTCCTAGACAAAGGGGGAAAGATGGACATTTGGGGATGTCCTTTGAGAGAGAAATCAGCTTGGCTGCTGTCTGTCTGGCTGACCTTGTTAAAAAGTAAGCTCGTTTAGATAAGCTAAAACTTAGAATGAAAGCTCTCTAAGGCAAGGTTTATGAAGTAAGAAAACTTGTTATTTACAATTGCATTGGATTATTTACTGCACCAGGCCTAAGACCCTTTAGCAGGAATGATTTATTTGCTTAGCAATTCCTTTTCACACCTGTTCTGCTCCCCACTCTGTCTCCACGAATCCTCTCACCCCACTGCACCTCTCGCCTACACCCCCGTTCTTCTACACAAAAAATAAATAGATGAATTCAGTATAGTTACTGAACACAAAATCAATATACAAAACTCAGTTGTGTTCTATACCTTAATAATAACCCATCAGAGTCACCGGGAAAACAATGCCATTTACAATTGCATCAAAAAGAACAAAATACCTGGGAAATAATGGAGAAGAAAACCCTGTATGATAAAAACTATAAAATACTGTTAAATAAATGGCTATTCTGTGCTCATGATTGGAATAATTGATATTATTGAAAGGTGCAGCTTCCAAAGTAAAGTCCACTGGCATTTTCCACAGAAACAGAACCAACCATCCTGAAACGTGGGGGGAGCACAGAGGACCTGGAGGAGGCAGAAACTCGAGAGTGAAGCTGGAGGCATGTTGCTCCCTGACTTCAAACTGTTCATGGGACACAAAGTCTCAACTAAAGTCCAACAAAGATTATGAGATTAAAATTAAAGTGGGCATTTGAACCCAGGAGCAGCCTGACAAATCTTATTTCAGAAACCTAGAGTCTGAGTCGGGTTTCAGGGCTAGGAAGAGTCACCGACAGGAAGAACGTGGTTACTGCGGACGGGAGGGGCCTCTGCTCCCGTGAGTCCCCCCCAAGACACAGGCTGGTGCCGGAGGAAGGCAAAGCCCTCTCCACCCCAGCCTCTCTAAAGCACGCCCTGCGGACATGCAAAGGCCGAGCGCCCGCAGCTACTTCTCTAGCAGCCTCCAAGGTCAGCCGCGGGCGGCGGAGACGGGCCCAGATCCCGGGGAGACAGGGAGGAGCAGCTCTGACTTGGCCTCTGGCGGTGGCTTCGCCTTCCCGCCCGCTGGACCTGGGCGCTGTGGGGAGACGCGAGCAGGCTTTCCCGCCCCCCCCCCGCGCTCTGCATTAGTGATGATCCCTTGGAGCTACACGCAGCCTGAGGGCCGACACCTGCACTGGGTGCGGGCAGGCTCAGGTGGGCACACCTGGGCTAATAAGGGCGGCGCCAGGGGGACGCCAGCGAAGAGAAAGAGCAGAGGGAACCAGGGGAGCAGGAGGGGAGGCCGCCGGAGAGCCCAGAAAGAGTGAAGATTCGCGGGGGGCTGGGGGGGGTGCGGAGCTGTCCCAGTCCTGAGCCCCCCGCCTTGTAAAAAGCTTAATAAAAGCCTGAAAAGCCACCGAGGGCTCCAGACTCTCCTTTAGGCGCCTGCCGGGACTAGAGAGACCCAGCTCTGTGCCTTTCTGACACGACAGGAGGGGAGGGGGTGGCAGCCCCAGGAAACTCTACGCCGTGTTCCCAAACTGTGTCATAAACGCCCCGCGACACACCCGCGCAGAGCAGCGCCGCGGACCCGCGAGCCCGGCAGCCCCGGGCGCAGGAGCGCACAGGACGCGCTCTTGGGGCGGGGGAGACGGGGCATGCTGGGGTCACGCTCAGACAGGAGCCCGGACCCCTTTGTTCCTCCAGGCCCAACAATGAACCCACAAAGGCCCCCCAGTTTCCCACGCCCAGCCCTCCCCGCACCGGGCCCTCCGACAGGAGCCCCGCGCAGCCCGCCGCCCCGGGGATGTCCTCACCGTGGCCGCTCCTCGGGGCGCCTCTCCAGGGCCCGAGAAGCTCCCCAGGTCCAAGCGCAGACAAGGGACCCAGCGTCCTCACGGGTCCAAAGGAGTGGAAGTTCGCCGCCACACCCCGGGGAGCCGGCGGGCTGGGCGCCGCAGAGCAGGGCCGGGCGCGCGCGCGCTCAGGAGGTGGTGCCGGCGCCGCTGGTGCCCAGGTTGGGGGGCGGGGCGCACCTGAACGCGCTCTCGCGGCCGCGCCCACCCGCTGTCCTGCGGCCGCCTGCCAGTTTGGAAATTCACACTCATTGCATGCGGGCAGATAGCCAGTGTCTGCTCCAAAATAGTGTCAACGAAAATTCTGGAAAGCCACTACAGTGGCAAAGTGGTTCTACTTGGATATAAAAACTTGCTCAGGATTATTAAGCAGTGACCGCAGGTGACTCAACAAACTGGCCCCTGATCTGGGATAATGACAGCAAGGGTGTGCGGATTCTCGGGGCTCTGCGCTTAGCCCAGGCCCCCAGTCTCGTCCCAGCTTTGCAGCCATTGTCAGGCTCCAACTGTGCGCGCATTACCCATGGTCACCACCAGGCGGCAGGCTCCGCCGTTTCTCTGTCTGGTTCCTCAGGGCCCTTGCAGTCCCCCTGAACCCTCAATCATTTCTCAGCCCTTCATTCACCATAGACCCCCTAAATGCTCACTCTCTTTTTTAGGTATATACCGCAATTTATTGAACTATCCCCCGAGGTTTTCATTTAGAGTGTTTCTAATTATTTGTTACTATAAAGAGAGTGCTGGTGAACATTTTTACACATAATGATTTTATTTGTATTTCAAAACATTTCCCTGCAAAGAAAGACTATGTCAAGCAGCATAAATAGTCTAAATTCACAGTTCTCTGTATAAGGGTGGCACAAATTTATTCTTTTCCCAGGAATGACATATTTCACCTCACCTTTGCCAATGTTCTACTGTAATATTCAAGGGTTTTGCTACAAATTTTGCACTAGAACAAAGCACGCAAAAAAGCTTTATTACATGTAAGAAATATTTAACTACTTTAGACCCTCAGAAATAAGCAGCATTAGCTCGGTAGTACTAATAAAAATAAAAAAAAATAGAATATCCCTGAATCTTAAATAGATAAAATAGAAGAGTAACAGGAAAAAAAAAAACAAACAAACAAAAACCTATAACCGAATGACCAGATGCTCTCCAAACACACATTCTCTTCAATCACACTGTGACATTACATTCCTTGGCCTTCACTGCAGCTGGGTGCATAACAGCATTCTAGACCCCTGAGTGGGATGGAGGAGAAATATGCTAATAAAACCTCATCTGCTTTCTGCTTCCTCAACCTTGGGCTGACTTTATGGACACAGAGGGGGCCAAAATCACCAAATGAAGAGCCTTAGTTCCTAAATGATCCCATACAATGTCACCCCACCAGAGAGACACTGAAAGGAGAGAGGAATGGATTTTATAGAATGAAGCATCTGGGATTCCAGGTTTCACATGTTATAGCAGCTGGGTTCTTTACTATGACCATTACAAATTATTACTCGAATAATAACTATATTTAGACACCATGTCAAATGTGTTATCTTCTTTTAATCTTTACACCAATTCTATGCCATTCTTATTAATACCATGTTAAAGAACTTGATTTCCCCAACATATAAATTCTTCCCAAGCTGAGATCACTGCTCTCCATAGAGATAATTCTCAGTAACTGTCATTTGCATGTTCTTGAGGTTTTTATGAATCCTAAAACTCTAGTTGGCTCTAAATAATAACTCCAGCTCCACTGTTACAATCACTTTTCTTAAACTAGGAGAAAGGAAAATGCCATGAACTATGGCTTCTGTAGACTGTTCAGTTTGTTTGCCACATTGTGTTCTGCTCCTTGGTAAATGCATTCATTATCTAATGAGAAAAGTATTATATTTAAAAAAAACCACTTAAACCTATTCCTTCACAGTGTAACAGTGTGATATCCATTGAAATGGAGAACTAAGAGGAGGCCTGGAGGAGGCACATGCAGCAGAAAGATGCATGAAGAGTTTGCATTTGTTTCTCAGCCTTGGACTTTACCCAGGGGCTTGGGGTGGGGGGTGTGGAAAGAGACACTTGAAGGAGACAGAGATATGGGTGAGGGACCCATGGGGAGGTTGACAATAGAAGACTTTTTCTTGATTTTGATTTTGCTCTTTTCCTTCCAGATTTCCCTGGCCCCTTCTGTTCCTTTTTCTTAGGGTCCCCACCAAGAGGTGACTTAGATGTATGGCCTTCGGGCCTCAGTGGCCCTAGTTAGGACCAACCCTGTTTAGTAGGGCATTTACCCACAAAAGGATGGATAAATTTGGGTGTTTGATTTGGAAACTATATTCTTTGCTCTTTTCTTTATTGCACATTAATTATATTATAGTTAATTTTCTTTTAAAGATCTTGCACTAAGAGTATGTTTTTCTTGATACGGAACCTCTTTAGAGAACCTCTTTAGAGAAGGCAGAACCTCTTTAGAGAAGGCAGGTTTGGGGGTCCTGGGCTGCCCCTCATTCTGTCTGAACAAAAGGTCAAGAAGAAGACAAAACTTGCAAATTGACCATAGATCTGTGGCACACATCAAGGGAGGGGGAGAGGGACAGCACTGTAAGGAAAAAAGTCTATTTTCAGTTTTTCATCTTAAGTTAAATCCAAGTAAGTTAGAAATGCAACAAATGCATCTATCTTAGTTCTCCACTAGCATTTGTTTATGCTTTCTAAACATTATCATTTATCATCACCTTCAAAAGCTCTTTCTGTCCTGGTGTTTTAGATTAAAAGTGGAATTTTCTGATAATGTGTAAAGGATAGTAATCTAGGAGAACTATGATTCAAGTGTTGGTTATCATTCATAGAGTTATTGTAAATAATATAGCACTATATTCCCAGAAAAGCCCTGTCAAATAGCACAGGGAAGGAATTAAGCATAAGAAAGAGGGACTTAACAGGATTTAAGTGGATCCTGGATTAACAGTGGATTTAAGGCACTGAACAGAAAAGGGAATCAAGAGTGGCATTTTGATCTGTTCTTTTAATTTGCAGTCACCACATTTATTTAGAAAAAATATATATCCATATAATTGATAGAAACCTGTATATACATATAAATACATCTGAACTTTATGGCTTGGCATATAATTACAAAACACTACTTACAGTGACCACCACTGTTTAATGTGTCATAGAGTTTTGAATGTTATATATACTTCAAAGTTGAAACAGAGTTCGTATTATTTTCAGAAACTTTGATGTTACTAGGATTAGTCTGTTGCCAAAACAAATGTGAAGGAAATTGTGGGCAATAGGGAGATTTAGGAGGCAAAATTCCCAAGGTCACAGTTGCAAGAGATGGCTCACAGCCCACAGGTCGTGGTTGTGAGGGCCACGGAGCCAACTCAGGAGCAGCCCCAACATATGAAAGAGTGTTAAGAAAGGAACGAGCATGGACTCTTCTAGGAGCAGTAGGAGCAGAGGTAGTTGCCTCCTCTAAGAGTACATGAAGTTGAACTTGATGTCAAAGTAAGTACAGAGGATGGGTTGCTGGTTCCATGAAATAGTTCTTTCTGGAAAGTTTGTGATAATTTAAAATCATTGTTCACGTTAATTCTGCCCCCCCAAATTTATTGGAATGCATATAGAATATGCAGAATATCCTCAGACCCCACCTCCTACTTCTGAACATTTAGATGATGGAAGTTTTGTGTTATATCTTTTAAACTTTGTTTAAAATTATCAATATTGTTTTAATTACATCAAAATGCATATTGAAAAGTTTTTACATTTTCATATGTTCCTTCTAGATTTTAAAATTATATTGATATTGCACAAATTAGCAATTATTGCAATTTTTCTTGTTTTTCTCATTTAACATATAATAAAAATACTTCACTATGACCTAATATTACTCATTGGAATTTTATTCACAATATCATGAGCTGTTAATTTGTTGTAGGCTGATTTACATAAACATTTATTTACATCAACATAAAGTATTATTGAACATTAAAAATCTTTCTAAAAATTTACTATATAAATGACATAACATAATCATGTATTATAAGATTTACCCAATCTCATTTCAATTTTAAAGTAAAATTTAGGGTTGAGTTTGCAAGTATAAACAATACCAACAGGTTTATGAATTGGACTTGATTGCTAGCATATTCCAGAAAGAATTAGATGAACGAAGCATTTTTATAATTGATATAATGAAAAATATCAATATATATTTTACTCCTATTACACATTCAATTGGTTCACATTTTATGTGTAGACACTGCTATCAAAAAGATATTGCTGACATTAATATTTCACATCTTTCATTGATTTAAAAATTCTATGTACATTCAAAATACTGTCTCATTTGACTTTTGTGGTCAGGTGGCTTGAGGAGGTGCTATGTCTATTTTATGGTAGAGGATCCTGATGCTTAGCATTTTTTTAATGGTACATGTCTATTCAATGGTGAGGCTGGATTGCTAGCTTTGTGATAGCAAAAACTGAAAAATTATCATATTATTTTTAATTGACTTTCAATTTTTAAGAAATTATAGAGTAAAAGAAAAGTTGCCAAGATATTACAAAGTTTTGATATACCCCTCACATAGTTTCTCCCATTGTAATCACAGAACATAATGCAGAGTATATATTTGTGAAAACTCTGAAATGAATATTGTTATACTGCTTTTATGCAATGCCATATTTTATTCATTTTTCACTGAATTTTTTACTGCTGTCTTTGTTCTTCACAATTCAGGACAACATATTGCTTTAAAGACTCATTACCTTTTAAATGACTTAAATGCACAATCTTTGTGATCAGAAACCATGAGGACACTGGACTCTGTATTAGTTTTAATACTAATATTAGAGAGCCTTCTTATCTGGGAAAAGAGAAGTTTGTTTATATCTCATGAACATTTTAATTCTAAAATGCTGCAGCTCTTAGAAACTCTCCAGGTAAGGGAAGTGCAGAGCCTAACAGTTATGTATCTTGGTTTTCTCTTCACTTTCTCATCCATTTTCTTTCTTTTGTACAACGGACCTGTCTTAGAGAGAAGCCACATGTGTGGGCCTGAGGGCCACCATAATTTATTTAGGGATTATTAAGACATT